CGGGGCGAACCCGATAGTAATGAGGACCTGCTGTTCAGTGATGGAAATCTGTAACCTAATCCCCGGTACTTGAAGTGGCGAACCACATAAGGCCTCGATAGTTTAGGTGGTGTTGAACCGGACGACAGCAGGGCCGTCTACCAAGTAAGTCGGGTGGCGGGGCTCCAACCTCGTACCATAAGTTCCGAAGCACGCCGGTGACTGGTGGCACTTTTAAGCGATTAGGATTTGCACTTTGACACTCACTTTGTGTACACTGAGAGCTTGGCAGCCATCTGCGAAGCTCCCTTATCTGTATCCCAGTGTACGATGATGGGAAGCCGTTTGGAAAACGTAATATAAACTTGACGAGCTATTAGCAACAGATGGAACGGGTGGCAACCGGGACCGATAAAAACATCCAGAATTGAAACTTACCCCGGGAACGATTTCTGCCTTTCCTTCTTCCCGCCACTCAGCCACTTTGTGATTAATCTGGTCACGGACTTCTGCCTTAATTTCACCGGTATCCCCACTGAACAAGGCAAGAAACCCTTGTGTTCGACTGTTGATTACGTCTATTTCATGTAGCGTGACTGTATGTACAACTTCCTTGCGCTTCTGTAATTCACCCTCGGGGCACTGAACAAATCTGGTTTGACCAGCAGTGGCATCATAATCTCGTGCCCGAGTAAATGAACGACCAAGTCGGGTGATCTTTCCGGATGGCTTGTCAATTGTTATTACATCCCTGACGTAACGAACCAGTAGGGAAAGAGTACTTACCCAGCTTGAACTTTTTCTTTACTCAGTGATTCGATCATTTTTTGCCCCAGGTCATAGACCGTTTCCATTTCTGTAGTTTTCAGAGTCAGTTTGCCAACCTTAGCACCCGTGCCAGTAGCAGGACGGTCAATGAGAATTTCGACCACTTCACCCTCAATAATTTCCGCTTCTTCTCTGGTTGAATTGTTGTAGACATGAAGAACAGAACTTACTTAATTCGAACACCAATAGACTTTCGAAACGCCTGCGTTAGAGCTTCCGTTTTGCTCATCTCTAAGGAGAATATTTCACTGCCAGCCATTGCAGTAAAGGGTGTATCGTGACCCAGGGCCTGAGCCATTCCCATAGCAATTGCTGTCTTACCCGTCCCCGGTGGTCCAGCAATCAGAATAGCACGTCCAGCTATTTTACCTTCCCGAATCATGCCCAAAATTACACCAGCAGCACGACGTGCTTTGCACTGTCCAACCATACCCTGAGAAATTTGCCTGGCTTCCAAATCATCATTTAGACCCAGACCGCGAATGTGAGAATGAGCTCCAATGCGCTCGATTCGCGTGATTTCACGCACCGCCGCCTCTTGGACCGTAGATTCAAGCTAAACAAGAAAAAATAAATTAAAAAAGAAAGCAATATTATCACGAACTGTCACATCCGCATTGATCAGAACACAAACATAACCAGTGCGGCCCAGACTGGTTATGAAAACTGAAGCAAAGATAGTGGTGCGTAGCAAATATAAGAAAAGTAAATTACTGTAAACAACTTCGCTGGTATGTGAAAAATATTTAAGTGTTTAAAAAGCCCGATCCACCATTGGTACGTAATTCCCAGTTGTCGAACCACGAAACCAATCTAGTTCGGTTTTTGTAGCAACTAAGCACTATCGTATCACGGTTTTGGTTGCTATCTTATGGGTGCTTATTTCCACGGGGGAAAGGAAAGATTGTGATATTAGAGTGAAAATACAATATCAATGCAGTTCCAGCCGGAACTAACTATTAACCAGAGCTTAGCTTCAGTTTGTACAACCGTTAACCATGAACTTTAATGTCGCGGTTTAGGTTGCTATTTTTCGGCTTCTAATTGAGATAAAGACGAAAAAGAAAGATGGGAACGTTGAAAGTTGTGTACAAATACGACACTACGGTACCCTAGCTTACANGCTTACAAAGAAATCGAGATGCACGAGCGCCACCAGTCACAACAAACAGCCATACCATTCAGATTATCAAAGTGATTAATATGATCCCGAGGTCAAACACAACCTATATGAAACCCTGAGTCCCTTTTATCCATCGTATCAAGAACAAGAGAAGACATCGTGCGAGACGTTAACATTTCGTTTATAAACGAAATTAGAAGATTATAAGCTTTGCAATCGCTGATGCAAAACAATAAAGCACAATGGAATTGTCAATGTTAGTGAACAGACATATCCGTAGGTTATCACTACGTAAAAGAGCGATTTGCGAATTTATGTTCAATGCTTGCATATTTTTTTTTGAAGGCACATGCACCGCTGGCCTAACAATAAAATATACTTCAAATCGTAGTTGTGAATGAATCACAACTAAAAACTAAATGCCACTGCACAAGACACTGTGTAGTAGAATCCCCAGAACGGTTGCCAGGACGCGATACTTACATTCGCCATTTGAAAGTTGCGCCTTATTTGGGAAAAGATTAAAACAAAGCGACTTAGTGAATGAAAAGTAAATACAACATCATAGTCCCAGTTAAAACCTGAATGAAATTCTTGGAAGTCCCTTCAATTTTTCCATGATAGCCGCATAGCTCTCTTTATTTCTGAATTATCTGCTCTGCTCTTTGTAATCGTGACATTTTCATCATTTTCTTCATTTGTTTTTCGTTTTCCCTGCATTTTTGAGGGTATTGGTTTTTTAAATTATCTCATTCTGTACATTTAGTCCACATCTTTCTTTTCCTTATCTTTATCACACGGCTAAGCGGCATCCACCAAATTGTTAATTCATCAAACTTTTCAATTCACCCAGCGTTGTTTGCTTCCCTGATGAGCTGTTTTTTGGTTATTCTCGTGTCGTATTCTGTAGAAAATTCCCTCTGATGTTTGGTGCAATCGTTATTTTCAGTTATTTATCTTCCAGAAGTTTCTGAAAATTAGTAGTACTATTTAATTAGCTACTTAAGTAACTAAAATTGAATACGCTGGTGTATTCCGTTTATGGAATACGTTAATAATTATCAGCTTTTCGTTTTTACCGTTGGTAATACATATTATTAGCGAAGAAGAATGAGGTACTTAGTCATGTTCGGCAAAATCACTAAACGCGCCTTGGCGTTTGCAGGAGGCCGCCATTGGCGCCACTTCGGTGGTCTTTCCTTTTATATCTTAAACGAGATTTACTGACGTATTGATCTTCCCAAATGAACTCTCTGTTCGTTTTGTTGTATCACTTTCCAAATAATGACTTTTTACCTGTTAACTTTTGCTTTTCGATCTTTACAGCGACGTAGATGGGCAGTAGCTTCACCTTTGTACCTCCTCCAGAGGCTCCTGTTTTCCGCCCGACAGAAGATGAATTCCGGGACCCTTTAGAGTATCTGATGAAAATTCGCCATATTGGCACGAAAACCGGTATTTGTAAAATAATACCCCCGAAGGTAAGGCCATTCATAATCCCAATTCTGATACCGTTTTTCGAGCTTTCTGTCGAATGATAAACGCGGAATTACTTTGCTAATCCCATTCAGTCAGCTAATAGATTAAGACAACTGTGTTTTCGCCATCTAAAATACTGTAAACCGTACCATCCAAAGATTTATTTCCCGTAGTTAACCTGTGGTTTCTTTAAATTCACTCCCCAGTCCTGGAATCCACCGTTCGCCGTTAATATGAAGGAGTTTTCATTCACACCTCGAATTCAACGTCTCTATGAGCTCGAAGTGAGTATACTACGTTGAAATAATACTTGTTCAATCCAGGCTCATTCCCGAATTAAATTGAACTTTATTAGCCGTCTATATAAATTCATTCGTACCCAGGTTAGTAAATTTCACCTAATCATTGTTTCTACTCAAACTAGGGTGGCGATAAGATTCGTGTTCCCAGCATAGGTGGTCGATACCTGGATCTACATTCTTTGCATAAGGAAGTTCGATCCGCTGGTGGCTACGAAAAAGTTTGTAATGACCACTCATGGACATCTATTGCGGAAAAGCTTGGGTATCAAAGCCGCCACGCGCAGTCAGTGAAAACAAATTATGAAAAGCTCCTTCTTGCTTTTGACAATCTACTTTACTCGAATCCTCCATCTGCTAAGGTAACGTGTCAAGCATTATAATCTATACCATTTCAAGCGCCCAAATGAAAGAAAAACCGGATCAAAGCGCCTTCGCTTATTATCATCTTCCGTAAGAAGAAATTGTCACTTCTTTATTCCTATTTCAGGACCTCGAGGAAATAGGGACTTCAACGAGAAGAGAGTTGAGAAACCTACAGTTTTTTGGTCCTGGACCGAAGGCCGCCGTACCCCTGTTAGATACAGGTGAGACCGAAGATCACGTTGATGACTGTTTACCGGTCATTGCAGGTCGAGTGACTACTTCAGACAAACAAGATCGCCATGTAAGCTAAGGTGTTTTCGTTCTGACGCTTAATCCGACAGATTGACGACTATCTCTGCCGGATTTGCGGGCAAGGGGATGATGAAGACAATCTACTCGTGTGTGACACAGATAAATGTCAAGCTTGCTACCACACTTATTGTCTGAATCCACCGTTGCGCTCTGTTCCCAAATGTCAGTGGAAATGCCCAGAATGCATTCGTTCCATGTGCTTGAAACCCCCAGAACCCTATGGATTCCCGCAGTCCAACAAATGCTACTCACTTCATGAGTTTGGAGTCATGGCCGATGAATTCAAGTCGAAGTATTTCGGTCGACCATGTACAGTGAGTTTAACACAATACTTGCATTTTACAGGCTACATGTGGTAATTCGGTGCCGGTTAGTTGAGTTCGTTCCATCCATTTCACTTCAGATAACAGCTGTTCTCTCATTGATAGTTCGCCCTGGATTTTATTTTTAGATTTCCACATAAGCAATCTTAATTCACTACATTTGAGCTCACTGTGGAGCCAAATGATTGTTTCCACCGATAGCGTAACCGCATCCCACGAAATCTTATCTTACCCGACCTACTCCGTTTTCATTCCCTTACCCTTGCGTTTTGTGGATATACCCTCGGTGAATTGTTATATATATATATATATATATATATATATATACCGGCTTGAGAACACGCATGGTGCCAATGCAAAACAATCATAATGAAGTTATCCAGGTATACAGAAAGATTTAATGTATACTCGGAAAACAGAACACGGAGAACGAATGAATGAATAATGGCCTTTTATAGTTTCACCGCACACTTTTTGAAGATATTTTTGTGTTATGGGGAACGGAGTTTCGCCAAACAAACCGCACAGCAATCGCGCCACTGACATCTATTCTGAACCATATCTCCCAGCGTATCTAGCCATCGGCCATCTTCATCTCTTGGGCTCCAGCCTGGAAGGCGAGCTGCACCAACCGAAGCCAATGCTGAGGATAACTTCTCCATACCTCTACATCACTTCATCCTCTGGCCACCGCGAACCTTCATCCAACCTTGCTCAGCACCTGCAAAGAGAGCACGGTGAGGTAATCGTTTGGCAGGCATACGCAATAAGTGACCAGGTCATCGGAGGCGGTGTAGAGCGATTTCTTCCGTTAAAGAACGACTATCAGTACCCAGCGCACGACTACGAATTTCGTCATTGCTCACCCGATGGTCCCACCAGACACGCGCAATGCTTCGACTGCATCGGTGGTCGAATACGGAAATTCGATTTGCATCCGCCGCTTGGAGAGGCCAGGTCTTGTAGCCGTAGAGCAAACCGCCACGAATCGCGGCAATGTACACTCCTCCCTTAAGGGACTGTCGGATGTCACGGCGGTGCCACAGATGTCGGAGATTGGCGAACGCTGGTCTAGCTTTCGCTATTCGTGATGTGATCTCTTCCCCAACCCCACCTCCAGCTGTGATTAAGCTGCCGAGGTACTTAAAGCTCTCGACTATTTCCAGCTGATCACCACAGAGGGTGAATGCAGGCATAGGCTCCTGCCAGTCTTGAACCAGCACTTTGCACTTTGATGGTGCGAAGTACATACCATACCTGGATATCTCTATCGCCAAGTGTCGTGAAGCTTGTCGGATTGCCTGCGCATTGTTCACCACCAAGGCGATGTCATCGGCATATACTAAGTCAAGAAATCTGTTCCCTGTGAGGAGTTCAACTCCACCGTTTCATACCGGTAGCGGAAGTGAACCACGTACAGACTACTAACAACAAAACAAGGAGGAAACCGCTTTGGCTGTTGGTAAAGTAAAAAGTAGGAACGTCCTATGAGATGATGGTATTCACCTAGACATCTTTAAATCTTGCATTCTCGTTTTGCTCAGCATGCAGAAATTATAAATAATTCCGTACTAACCCAATCGTCGCGCATGACAATCGTGACCGTGCCGCCCATTGCATCGAGCGCGGTGGGTAGTGATAAGTGGACTAATGCTCAGCTATCCCAAACTTCGTTTATTTCTTTGTCTCCAGTACCCAACCCTCTCCATTTTGCCCTTTTCCGACCTGTGATAGTTCCTCAACCAACTTCGATGTCGCTCGCCAAAGGTCGTTGCCAGATAGTCTTAAATAATTTACCACAAAACAAATTGCAGATTCTAAAAGCTCA